ACATCGCTGCTTGACTACTGCCACTATTATGCTATCTATTAATAATAATTAGTGTTATATAATTGAATAAAACTATTACAAGACTTTACTTTAATCTTAAGTAACCGTTTGTAGCGATTATCCTTCGTTTTTATTATTATTTAATATAGTATCTTCGACTTTATAGTATTTATTAATATACCGCCCACCTACCGTACGTTGCATATTCGTTTAATAAATTCAATTTCTAGCCTAATTAATTAAAATAATTAGTATTAACGAGATTTTATTAAAATCGCTAGTAAAATGCCTTTAAATCCACAAAGTCCGTTTCGAATAATTATTCTTAATAAAAGTACGACTTCTATTACCGAAATCTAAGTACTATTAATCCGCTATCCCCACGAAGAGCGAATAAGAATACAGTTATTATAATCCCTTAGCGAACGCGCTATTATTAAATAACGAATTCCTTTACCTTTACTTTTACTAATCTAACGACGAATAAAACCGCTATTTACTTCGTCGGGTTATAATAATAAAACCGTTACGTTCGATACTTTATAAGAGTACATTATATAATAAAATATTATAATTTAATTATACAGTAATATAAAGAGTAGGAAGAAGAGAGAAGAATAATTCGTTATATATATAAATTACCATTATATATATAATTACGTTTATAAGGGTAATATTAGGTAAATAATTCGAAATATTATTTTATATCAATTCGATTATCTTTACTAAATAAAAGTCGTATTAAGAAAAAAGTAAGGCAATTAGTAATTAATTAAAGAAATTCATAATAATTATGATTACAACGTCAATATTATTAATTTTACTAATAATATTATTTATTAATAATAGATCCGTCGCTATTATAAAGACGCCGTTAATATTACTATCGAAAAGTTATTTAATATTATTAGAATAAATTTTCGTTAAATTATTTATTATTTAAACGGTACCTTAGATTTTAAAGTCGGAGTAAAAAATGTTATTTCTATTCAATGTACTAACGGTAATAATTTAGTATTAGAGCTATATAATTTTCAAATCCCTATTATTATTTATATTAATTTTATATATAGTACGTTATAAAGAACATAAATTACTATATTAAGAAAAAGTAGGTATAGCCGCCCCCTAATAGCAGTAATAGCGGTAATAATTCTACCCCCGGTATTAATTTATTGAATTTCCTATTAACTATCTAGGATTTAGATAGCTATAATTCTAATTTTTTATTATACCGAAGCTCCGCGGCGGTTAACGATAATAAGGCTAGTAATAATAATATTAACGAAGAAAATAACTACGTTAACAATAATTTAGAAGAAGACGACTTAAAAGAAGCTCACAATACCGCCGCCGCTAATCGCTTTATTTAATAACTTAATAATAAGTAAGAAGTTCGTTAAGTAATTAAAAAGCTAGTAATTAAAGTTATTATTCTATATAAGTATACTATATTAACTTTTAACACTATTCGTCGATTCTATCTAAATATATACGAAGGTTTTTAAATTACTTAGAAGTAAGTAATTTATATTAATAGTAATAATTACTTTGAGTAAGTATAGTATTTAATAATATACAAATTTAAATAATAGATTCGTACGTATTTAATAACCCTTATCCTTACTCCCCTTTCTCTCTATAATATATTATATACTTTTTTCGCTAATACTTTTGAATTTTCTTTATTTACTTCTATAAATATTACTGTTTATAAATTAACAAATTTAGGAATTATATTATTTTGAAATATAGGAACTTTAGTATTAGGGTAATTAATAGAATTAAATTTATATATAGATTTATTAAACGACTTTTTAAAAACAGTTTCTACTTTGTAAAATAATTATACGAATATATATATTCTACTTACCACTCTTAAAACGAAGTATTCAAATTATAATATATTATAATAAAGTAATTATATTTATATAAAATTAAAAAGGTAAGAATATTTAATAATTTACTATTGAAAGTACGTAAAAATACTATTTTTTATTATTATCCTTATAAATATAAGTAGAAGTCTAATTAATTAATTTTTTTTTTATACAGGTAGCGCTATATACCTTTAAATTTATATAGTACTAATATTATTATACTTATGACGATTAATTAAAAAACCCTTATTAAAACCTAAATGCTAAATATAAGAAGGTATTTATAGTCTAATATAGTTTACTTTATAAATACTTTATATTAAAGCCATTATAAATAGTTCCGCTATTAATATTAATTATAGACAATATAAATATATATTAATAATTAAAATTAAACGGTAGTAATTAAATTAATTGAGGTTAAATAACGTACTTACGCGATTTGCAACCCTATTATTTTACTTAATTGCTAATAATAAATAATTATCCCCGATTTAATTTTTATTAATTATATACGTAGAATATTGAGACGAAATTTTATAAATCCGAAAATTTTCGAACTATATAATTTCGAAGGTAATTAAAATTTCACTTAACCTATTACCGCTATACTTATTACTACCGCACTTATTAACCGCAATTAGTATAATAACCGCCGTATATTTTTTTTACGACGAGCCGTCCTGTTGGGTAATATAATAAAATATTTAAAGAAGAGGGAGGGCGTTAGCTCGTTAAAAATAATTTCGGGTTAAAAAGGAGATTTAATAATAAGCGAACTAAATTACGTAAGAAGATTTAAATAATATTATTATAAAAACTATAGCGCAATTTATATTAGCGTTAATACTTTCTCTAATATCCTTACAATCGATTCTAATTCTTTTACTCTTGCCTTTTTATCTTCTAATTCCCTTATAAAGAGTTTTAGCGCCTTCTCTATTTCCCTATCCCTAAATTTAATACTAGCCGTTGAATAATTAAATATAGCCGCCTTATAACTATCTATTAATTTATAGGGGTTCTAATTAATTTAATTATAAAGTATTAGCGCTTGTTAGATAGCTAATATTAATACTTTAATTTTAATTAAATTAGAATTTCCTTCCCCCTTCCAATTAATAGTAAAATAATTTATAAGGATAAATTATATTAATAACGCAATATAATTAAATTCTAATCCCTATAGTATTACTTATAATATTTCTAATATACTTATAGGGATATATAGGGGTTCTTTAGCATTTTAAGTAAGACTTATATAGTAAGTATTAAAATTAGGGTGGGTATATATACTTTAGGTAGTAAATATAGTAAGTATAGTATATATAGTAATAGGGCTAGTATAGAAGATAGTAGTATTATTAGTAATTATAGTATTAATATCCTTAGTAGTAGATAATTGATTAGATTGATAATTCTGAATATTTTTACGTAAAAAATAACGACGACGATGTAGATCTGGTGATGCGCGGGCATCGATTATGTGGCCTCAATTGTATACGGTAGGCTGGGCTGGGCTGGGCGGCTGGCTGGGCGGCTGGGCTTACTCAGCGATAAAAGTGGGTTTAGTCTATCTAGGGACCAGTTTGAGTCTACCCAGCTACCGATTTCGAACGTGTAACCAACTATCAATCAGCCCGTGACGATGATCCACACCCTACCGACCGACGGGAATGGCTTTCCAAGGACACGAGTCTGTTCGAGCTCTCCATCCACCTTAATGTACATGGGCTGCTGTGTTCCGTTTGGCCAGATTTGCGATTGATCCTTCAACCTGGGCTGCTTCACCTAGAATAGAGGTGGCAGTTGGACCCTTTCTGCTGTAGCGTGAGAGGAACAAAGGGGTCATGTACAGTAGCATGTACCAGAAGAAATGTGACGGTGTTCTGGGCTGTCCTCCTCTCTTTGTCTTGTCAATTGCCATCCATCGAATGGGCAGCCAATCAGCACGGGCACTAGAAAGGGTCGCTGCTGGGCAAGGGTGCCATGGCCCGGGGTCTTCGATCTCGAGCAGTTGCCGCAACGATTGGCTGCAGTTAGTTTTGACGTACCTTTCATCAAAAACAGCCCGATGGTTTGTTTCAGGGGTACAAGTACAAGCGTCCCGCTCTCACCCCACACCTTTTTACGACGCTGCCGGTATCGAGACTGCGACCCTCTTTTTTTCCCCTCAAGACCGAAGAGGCGAACGAACTGTGGCACTTGCAGAATGCAACGCCAGTTTTAAAGTGCCTCGGGGCCTTCTCCGCTTGACAGTTTCTTCCTGTCGACTTAACCAAGTTGAGGTAATCGTATTTTTCGACGCAATTTGTGCAAATTAAAGAGCTGACCCAAACGTGTGGCCCAAGCCTAGTCTGGGGGAGACCGGGGACGAAGCCAAGTCGAGTAAGCCAGGGTTCGGGATGGCTTTGAGAACTCGTCAACTCCTGACAAGACATGGCGGATGTTGATTTGTATCCCCTTTGCTCACAAACAACAGAGGCCGTTGAACTCATGAGAAGGCCTCTGTATTTCCCCATGGAAGCACATCATCGCATTGAAAATCCATCATCAGCCCAAAATCCAAGCCACACAGATTGGGTAGCCGGAAGTGCGTAAGCTCTGCTGGAACCCCGTGCCGCTGTGGTTGTCTTTGCCGTAGCCCCCCTTGCATTCTTGGTACGTCGGTTGACGATGCGATAGTCCTAGGCTCTGGGATTAGGGATCGGATTGGAAAGCCAAGTTGAGACACTCATCCAGTGGTTCTTTGTGCGTCTTGAAATATCATGTCCTTTGTCCTCTTGTCGGTCTGGCTGCTGTTGACTGTGACGGATGCTGTGTGTTGGTTTTAAGTTCATTGTCAAAAGGTACGTACCGTCTGCAGAATGGAGTATTATGATGGCATGGCATTGGGCAATCTCCATAAAGTGGAGCACGATCCAATTCTCAAAATGTGGCTCGTGCCTTTCCGCATCCTCCAGTGGCACATGATCGCCGGGCCGCCGTTTCTTGACACCTGAGGCAACGACTCCAGTTCGGCTCTAGAACCTTGCAGGCCAGGCCACGGGACATTCCGTGACCAACAGACACAGACCCGCTAGGGCGCGACGGCCTGCAGCTTGACAGCTTCTGACAGCGACAAGTGACGACCCCTCGAAGTCGGCGACAGGACAGCACCGGACCCGACCAAGAACTCCCGTCGACGAGAATGCTCTGACCGCGATACCCAAGATACCTTACTATTACCACTACTACCGTATAGACGAAGTAAACTTAATCACCACCATGCCGCCGCGAATAAACCTCCCGCCCGTGACGCGCATCAGCCTCATCGCCCTCGGCCTTCAGTCCGTCCTCAGCGCTGCCATCCGATACCGCCAGTGGACGGCGCACTCCGAGATTGTCATCCCATATCTCAACCTGATCCCCCAGCTGTCGCTCGTCTACCCGTGGACCTTTGTGACAACCACCCTTGTCGAGAGCAACATCTTCAACTTCAGTATCGCAGCCTTGACCCTCTACCATGGCGGTCGTTACCTTGAGCGCGCCTGGTCCTCGCGCGAGCTCGCAAAATTCCTGCTCGTCATCTCCCTGGTCCCGAACGCTCTCTGCTTTGCCACCTTGATCCTCTTCTTCACCTTTACCAGGAACGAGCGATGGACGTACGTATACTATCCGAGCCAAATCACTTTGCTGCTTGCTATGGCTAACCCTTTTCTGCCGACAGACTCATGACCATCGCCGGCACGATCCCACTCCAGATCTCCTTCCTCGTCGCTTTCAGCCAGCTCGTCCCCGCCCACACCGTCACCCTCTTCCGCGGCATCCTCTCGCTCCGCGTGCCTCGTTTCCCGCTCCTCTACATCGGCGCCGTGACGGCCCTGTGCCTCACGCCCATGCTCACGAGCGTATCCTTCCTACTCGCTGTCTACGGCTTCATCACAAGCTGGACCTACCTCCGTTTCTACAAGGCCGTCTTCCCCGACCTCGACCAGTCCCAGACGAGCTCCCTCCGCGGTGACGCCAGCGAGACCTTTGCCTTTGCCGAGTTCTTCCCCGGTCCCGTCCGGCCCGTGGTCGCTGGCATCTCCGAGAATGTCTTCAACGTGCTGGTCGCTATGCGCGTCTGCACGCCTTTTACCCAAGACCACATTTCAGCCGCCCGCGGCGACAACGCCTTCTCGCATCACAACCATCAGCGCGGCGCGCCCGGCAGCGCAAGAGCTGAGGCCGAGCGCAGGAGGGCGCTGGCTCTCAAGGCCCTCGATCAGCGTTTGCATGCTGCCACGGCGGGCGCCGCCGCTCGCGCCTCGGGCAACCCAGCCCCGCCCGCTGTTCAACCCCCCGCTCCATCGGCCACCGGCCCTACTGTCCAGACACAACCGCAGGCGAATACACAGAAGACGATGACGACGCAGACGGGCGAGGCGGGCTCCAGCTCCGATAATGACGGCAGCAGAAGCAGCGCTTAAACATGAAAAAGAAAGGAAAGGACTACTGCAACTGTCAGTTTGAATTGATGCATTTAATATCGGGGCGAGGGGAGACATCAACGAGGAGATCCTATCAAGATACAGCATGGCCTACGATAACACGATAATCATTCGTGAGAACGGGCGGAGCTAGAATGACAGAGGGTGCATTGATACCCGATTTGGAATTTTTTCAAAGAGATGCCGTACACGCCATGCCATGCATTTGGCGACATGCTACGAAGAATAAAGTAACCCAGGGAGGAAGAGGGGTAGCAGCAGGAAGTAGAGGTGAGGTGGAGAAAGGACGTGATGAATGATGAGGAAGTGGAGGATCAAGTTATAAGGTAGTGGGTGTGTGTCCAACCCATGTATCTGAGAAGAAGAACGGTCCACTGACGTCTGTCACGTACAGCATAATTAGAGAACAGAAAGTTAGTAATTGCTCGGCAGAGACAAGAGAAACATCAAGAGACTTGACATCCATATTTCGCATTCATGGACGCCCAATCGCAAAGCACAGGGACCTGCCATCCGTTCTTTTTGTTGAAGTCGTTCTAGTCATACAAGATATCTATCCTTCAAGCTTTCCTATAAGCTTCAGTTTTGCCTGAAAAGAACGTTGGGAATAGGCTGAGAAAACTAGGAGTGTCTTTTCCGGGGTCCAATGTTATCATCGTTCGCAAAACCGCCATGCGTACCACTTTGCAAAAGGCGTAGGGTACAGTAGAGACTAGCAACGATTATCAGGGATGAGAACCTATGGTAAAATGAAAGTTCTTTGACGTCTTTTTGGAGTGTTGTTGATCTAAAGTTGGCAGTAGAAAGTTGTGAAAACGTTCAGGAAGGGCAGAGCGGTCCCGTCGCGTCTAAAGTCAAGATAAAGAAAGCAATGCGCGCTGATGAAGGGCCTGTGCGGTAAGTCGTGCAAAAAAACAAATAAATAGATATCAATGAATCGAATACCCCCAACGGCGAATACAACAAACACAGCTTTGTTGTGTCCTCTTTACTAATTAATGCATTTGACGGGGTTTCAAGACCCAATTCTAAATAAGATCAAAAGCTTAGTCCGTAGGTCAAAGGATCTCAGATACACTCTGTCTGGTCCAGATCCAACCAACCAACTGTACACAAGGCATATATATCGTCATGATACACTGCAACCTTTCGACCGCGATGAATGAATGGTCTTATCCAACTGAAATACCTGTACCGGATTGTATAGTCAATCCTACGAGACCACTCGCCAACTCAGTAGTGAAACTGCTTCCTTCATTGCGTACCATTTCCACTATGCGTGTACCCCGCCCGTTTCATGCTTTGTTCACGGTAAGGTAGCTATGCTCCTCTTTGCTCTTCCTCTCCGGATCTTTAAAGCCTCCTCGTCGTCTTCTTTTTTCCCGTCTTCCTCCTCCTCCTTTTGCTGCTACCGACAATCTACAACATTTTTGCCCATGCTAGTGTAGTGGTACTAACACCAAAACCACGGCCTTTAACAGCAACAACCATACTGGTTCTTATGACTATTAGCATGTCCTTCCTTGATCAACCACACGGGGTGGGCATACAGCGCATGCAACCACTAGCGAACAGCAACAGTGAGTGACCGTAGGATCATCCGCGCTTTTATTGCTTCGCATGCTTCCTCTTTCTTCCCTTCAATCTATCTAACCAGAGCAGCCAGCTTTCCAGAAACAGGTGGGTGCATGTTGACGAAAAACGTGGTTGTTGTGCAAACTTTGTTGCCCCAAACGACGACGAAAATGGGCACTAGACTAGCCCAATATTATCAAGGGTGGTTGGTTGTTGGAGCGTTATCAAAATAAACAGCAACATCGGGATGACGAAGAAGAAGAGGAAGATGAAAATGAGAAGGGAAAGGAAGAGGAGGATGAGCAGACAAGCGGTAATGAGGACAATTATGTTACTTTCAGGTAAAGCACGGGGATGAGTTCGGGAATAGTTGTGTAGAGGAGGAAGAAGAAGAAGAGGAAGAGGAAGAACAGGGGGCAGAATAACATGTGATAACAGGACTGAAAAGTCGAAGACAGATATGCAACTGGTAATATCGTTGATGAAGGGGGGACGAGGAGATGGCGCTGATCATAACGATGCCGGAGATGAAGATGAGGCGGAGGGTAATGAAGAGGAAGATGACGATGATGACGACGACGGTGATGTCGGTGACAGTGATATTGTTGGGTATGACAGTGATGAAAGCGATAAGGTAAGAAGAGTGTACTGGCGAAGACTCCTATGGTGATGATGAAGAAGATGGGAAGAGGAGGATAATGTGATTATGAGGGCTATGATAAAGGAGATGACTATTCTTATCAACCTGGAAAGATATAATGAAGAAGCATATGAATGTGGCGAGGAAGTTGAGGACGAGGAGGACGATGAAGATGGTGATGACGACCGCATTGACGAGGATAAGGATGAGGACAATAATAAGGATATGATGGTGGGTACCAATACGACGATTCAGGGGAAGCGTACTCGTATGTCGAAGTGTATCAGACGTATACCTTACATACTAGCATGGTCATTCGAACTTCTTTCGGGGATAGCCTATGGTATCCAGGTCCGATAGAGTCGAGTATACCTGCAAGTTTCTTAGCTTTTCATGTCTTGCTCCATAAGCATATGATCATAGCGTACCCTTGAACCATATCAAAAGCCTCCTCGGCCACCGCCTGCCCTATCATCTTCTGCCGATAATAGCCCGGCTGACCCCAAGCCCGGGCCATGGAGTAGCTCCGGTCTAAAATAAACGTCAACTAGTAGTATTGATCATCACCACCTGAGCAAAGATGGCTTCTGTCGCACGAGATCTCATCTCCCAAAGATTGGTCATAGTCACACCGCCCAGTGTCAGTCAGGTCAATACCTCGGACCTTGCGGGCACTTTAATATCCCCATCGGGTGGTGAAAGTCATCGACACACAAAAACCATGGCTGGCAAGTCTTGCCCTCAAACAGATCAAATCTCAGCCTCTTTCGTTCCAAACCCAGCACACAGGCTGAATCCCGCAATCAATCCGAAGTGAGACCTTTTCCAGCCATGATAATCTCCTTGAGGTGAGAAGAAGGGGGGCAAGTTACTGAGACAAGAAGACTCGGTGATCAACTTGTGCCCACCCTAAGCAGTGCACACTCCCTCCCAGATCGGGTACCGGGTCCGAATCTCGTGGCGTTTTGCTTGTTCCTTCAAGCGGGCGTTGTTGCCTCTTCAATCTCACCAAGATATATGTATGCAAGACGAAGGTCAGAGGACGAGGAGGTAAGGGCTCGTGTTACCTGCCGGCTTTATGCCAGGGGTCACTGAATCACCTCAGATCAAGCCACAAATTTGCTGCTGATTGACGCTTGTATCATCAGCGAAAGGAGATAGGATGAGGCGTTCTTGTGGCTGCCCGACCAGGCTAAGGGGGGGGCACACGCATAAAACCCGCGCGACGTCTCTCACCAGCCACTTGACCAGAGTGTGTAGCGTTTGACCCAGGAACGGAAGAAACCATCCCAGACTGTGGCTTGATGGGTAGGTAGTAGTAGCAAGCAATATCCTCCCACACCGCACCAAAGATGTACGTATGTAGGTAACTTGAGTACGGTAACCTCGTCAGATGTCACCGGATTCCGTCACTCGTCATCCCTTCATAAACCCACCGCATCCATTCCACAGCATACACCCGATCCATGACCCCGTCTAGCCTACTCGTCCATCATGACAATGAAAAGTAGTGACATGGTAACACATAACCACCAGACAGACGGCAGACGAGACCAACAGTCGGGACAACAGACAGACAGACAGACAGGACGGCCGGACGGACGGATGGGAGAGACAAGATAAATCAGAAACGAAGCGAAGAGAAAAAAGGACTCTGTGCTCTTGGAGGAGACGCATATCCGGTTCGGCTTCGGCTTCTTGCATGGCAGGCACCTGCAGTCAAGAGAAGGAAGCATCGTGTTATAAAGAGAGGAAAATAGGGGGTTAAGTGAAAAAGAGAAGATGACAACTGATACATGTACGACCTCTTTGGTCAACCGCCCCCCTCCCCCGTTCGTAAAACCTCGGGACCTCAGCAACGCAGCAAGGTAGTACCGTAGGAGGGAATGGGAGGGGGACAACATGACCTGTTTCAACGTCTCGCGCAGTCTGCTTGGGATTTGCACATTCGGTAGATGCACAGGTTCGGGTTCTGTGTTCCCGTTCCACCACTTGATATGATATGTATCGAACGGTTCGAGACATGATGGGGATGTGATGTGTTGCGATGTAAGCGAAAGGGGACTTAAAAGCACCTAGCTGTAACAAAGTGGGAGCAGACCACACAAGGCTGATATAAAGAACGGAGAGATACACGAGCTGGAATGTAGGATGACACATGCAGATTAAAGAAAGACACCCGCGGCCGGGATGCACGAGGTTTCTGAATGACACGCACACGACTTGAGAAGCCTCGTAGTACCTATGTAGTACACCAAACATCCCTCATCCCTCCAGGCTCGGGAGGCCGCATTCCTCCCAAGTGTACAACAGACGCCACTGGGCGCATCAGTGATTCGCGTCACCTTGCATGTTCCACGAGGACCCGTTTGGTGGTTTTGGCCAGCTTCGATGGAGTGTCTCGAGCCTTACGAGATCCTTTCATGCCTGTCACTTGTTCGGCCCGTCATCTTGACTGTCCTCGATAATGGGAACAAGGGCAGCTGGCGTCTGTTCTGAATCCAGGGTTAGGGTTCAAATGGTTCGGGATATTGTGACGTTCCCAAGCCTTGGAGAGCTTGATAACCGAAAGCTTGTGTGACGAGCCATCTCCTGTGCAACGGTTCGGCAAGGCAGGGGGCCAATAAATATCGTGAAGTCGCTAATCCCAAAGGGGGGTTGGTCCCCGTTGGCATTTGTCGGTTGCTGCTGAGGAAGGGTGTCAACAAGGGGTTCGTTACCTGCCTCGAGGGAACCTGGCGTGCTGGTGCTGGGCTGGGTGCACACGGGATGATAAGGAGAGATGGCTTGTGTCTGAGACGACCGCGTTTTGCGCCGGGCGATTTGATTTGAATCTCTTTGATTGCTCAGCGTCGATCCTCTGTAATGAATCCTTGCAGCCAAGCCGTTGAACCAACCGCCTGCTCGGAATATTTGTGCCACGCCGTGGGATTCCAAGCCAGTCACTCAATGAGCAAAACCAGAGGCTTGATGGCTTAAGCCACAATCATGCCTCTTCCATCTCCACGCTCAGAATCCGGACATCATCATGCCAGCCCGGCTGGAAACGTGGCGCACAGACTCTTTGTCTCGGTCTGAATCTGGATTCCAGATGATCTGCTGGTGCCTGGCATTGTAATGACCACGACTCCATGCGGATGGATGGCCTCGTCCGTGCGTTCTTCGGGCGTAAGATTCGCTAGGCGGATATGCTTGACCCTTGGGCGCACAACAGACAGTAGTTGTCAGGGCACAGGCCCATAACCCCACATACACAGGCAAGGCAGGTACAACCTACAGTATAGGGCAAGGGTATACGTATAGGGTGTACGCCTAGTATGATATATTTAGTTAGATTCCTCGCCTTTATAGTACTTAGAAGGCCATACTTCTCCAATATATTATATTAGGCTATATATTTGCCCTGCAGCGGTCATTATCCTTATAATCTAGTACCTACACTATTAGAATCGAATAGACGACCAATTAAAATTTAAGGTTCGCTAGGATTCCTCCAAATCCGCTAACTTCGTACGCTAGACTAATCCAATTGCTAGACGCTACGTTCCTCGTACTTCCTTAAGACGCTGCTTCGTATTAATACGATTACGTTAAATGTTAAGTCTAACGCTGCAATCGTACTTAATACTTAATCTATAGGTAAGAATAAGCCTATTGACCTAAAGTAGCGAATAAGATAATTACTTCGCTTTTACGCCGCCGGATGTCCCTATAATATTAAAATTACCGAAATATATTTAAATTTAGCTTATCACCTATAGCCAGCATTCAACGTAGAGGTAGGGATAGATTAAATCGAGGTAAACGATAGAAGACCCTACCCGTCGACGTAAGAATCCTAAAAGGGCTCGCTTCTTAACGTTCTTTTCTAATTTAGGCAGAAAGCTTATATAGCGCTTAAATACTCTCTAGTAGGCTCCCTATAGGGCCTATTTACTAAAGCTATAGTAAGTCCGTCTACTACAAATTAGCCTAACGACTTATTTAAATTAAATTTAGTTAATATCCGAGCCCGTTAGAATAAAGGTAAAGTAAAAGTATTATTATTCTATTTATTGTTAATTCTAGTATTATTAGTAATAATTTAACCCTCTAAATTAGGCTTATTAACGGCCGTTCCCTCTACTACCCCAAGTTTCTCTTTTGGACCATCAATTCTTCTATCTACTTTCCGTCGAATTAAAATTCAATTACCTAAATCGGTATCGATAATAATCCTAAGTCGGGAACGCTCTTTATTACCCGACCCGCTCGGTTCCTCGACGTTACTAATCGACGAACTAGATTAAGTACTAAAAGATTAAGAACCCTAATATAACTTTTTTGAATTTCGAGAGAGCTAATTCGGACCCTAAACCGTTGGAACGGGAAAGCAAATTCCTCGTCTCTTTAATAAGTAATTATTTGTTAATCCCCGATATTTCCTTATTAGATATTCCTTAATGAAACGGTTATTAATTAACGCTTAGGATAAGCGTTTATTTTTAAAACGTTCTCCGTTGCTAATTAATATTTAAAGCGGTAAATATTTATCCTCCCTAATAAATAGTTAAAATTTTAATACTAATTTTAAAGGAAAGGACGAAGGTAGTATCGAAACTAGTACCCCTCGAGGCCGAAAATTCAAGCCCGGCGATTTTACGGTCTATCCAATAGCGAAGTCCTTAGTAAATAGAGTACTTAGCTATTATCTAAATTTATTAGAATATTTTAAAGCTAAAACTACTACCGCCCTTTATATTAATTTCCAATTTGAACGCCGCGAGTCTACTGTCGAACTAAACGTCGACGATAAATCTTTTACAAAATCCTAATTAAAGTCAAACTATAAATCTTCTATAAAACCCGAATTAAATATAGGCCGTAGAAATTCTACTAGTTACTACTAAGTAATAATCGACTTAGGCTTAGAATATAACCGCCAATTATTGATCTAATTTCGTACCGAATTAAATTTAAACCATAATCGTTATTTATTAAAGCTGTCTTTAATTATATATTAACCCAATCTTAAATCTAGGCCAAAAGATAATATATCGGTAAATAATAATAATAATAATAATAATAACCCCAATTAACTTCTAACCTATTAAACCGCAACCGAGTTTATAATTGCTACTTTTTAGAGAGTTTGAAAAACTATTAGTACGAATATAGCTAATCTTTTCGCGGTAATATAAAATTCGGCTCCCTTACTCCCTAGTTCCATAACGTTAAATACCTATCTTGAAAACTAACGAAGTCGGTTACTTCAATCCTTTAATTAAAAACCCTTTAAATTTTAACGTCGTTACTAATAGTAAATTTATTAAGTATAATAATATTTACCAATTCCATAATAAACTTATCGACTTCGAAAGAATAAATAGAAAGGAGGTAATCTGTAAAG